TTAATAGTCTGTCTTAAGCTGATAAGTTATTTTCCATCACATAACAAAACTCTTTACTTTTGCTTCTCCCTGCCCATAACCATCTTATAGTATTAGTGTCAGAATTTATATCTTTTTGTATCGTGTATCCCTTAACAAAATTTTGTAGTTCTAATAACTTGTAATACTTTTTCCCCTTAACTTTTATACTAGAGTTAAAAGTGATTTACATACCATTTACATACCACCATTACAGTATTAGGCTATTCTGACTTCATCAGTATACTTAACTTTATCAGTGGGTTTTATACTTCCATGTGTTTTTGTGTTACTAATTAGTATCATTTTGTCTTCAACTTAAAGAACTCTCTTTAGCATTTTGTCTAAGACAGGACTAGTGGCAATAAATACCTGCTTTTCTTTGGGAAATTTTTTATTTCTCCTTCATTTCTGAATAACTATTTTGCCTGGTGAATTATTCTTCTTTGGCAGTTTTTGCTTTAAAAGCATTGAATATATCATCTTACTCTCTCCTGGACTATAAGGTTTCTGCTGAGTAATTCACTGATAGACATGTGAGGTTCTCTTGTATATGACAAGTCTTTTTTCTTTTGCTGCTTTAAAAATTCTCTCTTTGTCATTGAATTTTGAAAATTTTATTGGATTTGTCTTAGTGATAACTTCCTTATGTTCAATCTATTTGGATTTCTTTGAATTTCATGGATCTTTATGTTAATTTCTCTCTCCAGATTAGGAAATTTTTCTGTCATTTTTTTTTTCAATAAGCTTTTTTTTCCTTTACTTTTTCTCTGTTGCTTTTGGAGTTCCCATAATGAGTATGTTAGTTTACTTGATGTTGTCCCTGAATCTTGTAGGCATTCTTTAGTCTTTTTCATTCTTTTTCTTTTTTCTTCTTTCTTTTCCTGAATGGATAATTTCAAATGATCTGTTTATAAATTTACTGATTCTTTCTTCTTTTTGATGGAGTTTGCTGCTAAAGTTTTTTGTTTGTTTGTTTGTTTTTTTATTGAATGGTAACTATGTACATTAATGCACTTCTGGGGTACAGTGTGGGGTTTTCGCACACAATCCAAAACACTTCTATCAAACTGGTTAACATAGCCTTCATGTCATTTTCTTAGTTATTATTTTAAAACGTTCACATTCTGCTCTTAGAAAGATTCACTTGTACCCTTATACGATAAACCTCAGAAGTGATCCCTCTAATCCTCCTCCCTCCACCCATTCCCCCCTCCCCTCTCCCCATATTCTTAGGCTGTTATTAGGTTATAGCTTTCATATAAAAGGTATAAATTAGTTTCATAATTTCATAATAGGGGTGTGTACATTGGATACTTTTTCTTTTTCAGTACAGTCATTATATTCTTCAGCTCTGGAATTCTATTTGGTTCTTTTTATGGTTTTTACCTCTTGTTAAACTTTATGTTTTCTTTATGTGTTATTTCCCTGACTTTGTTTGGTTGTCTAAACTTATACTGCTTTACAATGGTCATTTTATACTTGATCTTAGCCAAAAGGCTAAGAAACAATTCATAATGACCATTTTTAACTCATTGTCATGCAGTTCATAGATCTTCATTTCTTTGGGGTCAACTGCTAGAGGTTTATTTTGTTCCATTGGTGATGTCATGTTTTCTTGACTTTTTGTTCATGTTTCTTGAAGGCTACATTGCTGTTTTTGTATTTGAAAAAGAAGTCACCTCTAGTTTTTAATATTTGGATTCAGGAAAAAAAGACCTTCATCACTTATCTCAGCTAAAGATTTTGAAGATCTCTCAAACCTTTTCTCTGAATGTGCCCACTCCACTCCTCTTATTGCCTGTTTAGGGAAATTCTTAGGATTTTGTGCCTTCTCTTGATCCCACAATGCCAGAGTGTGCTGAGAGCCTATATTTGTTTTCTCCAAGGCAGTGCCCTAAAGTTTTCAAGGTTGTATGTCTCCTCCCAATCCAATAGTCAAGTGGCTTTTTGCATCTCTGTGCTGTCTGAGAGGGCTCCTGTGTGCCATCTGCAAGGACTACATGCAGTATCTGCAAGGAAGCATGGAGCACTTGCTATAGGAGGGGGATGCACAAAGTCTTCAGGGATACTTTTTAGCTAGATGGGGGGGGGGGTCTGCAAGTGAGGCATCTTATGGGGTTTATGGATAGGATTCCTGGGCTCCATAAGCCAATTAATGGGAGTCAGAGCTGTTTTTTGAGATCTATGTGGTGGTTGCTGTGAGCCCTGCCCCCTTTTCCTGCTCCTACCTGTCCCCAGACAGCTGATGGGACATGTCAGTCCTCTTAGTATTGTGGGTAGAGTGAGACAGGAATGAGTCTCTTTGGTACCATTGCACAAGGCAAGGCTGAGGAAGCTGGGCACTTACTTCACTTTCACTTTCCTTTGTGGGAGAAATTGTACAATGAAGGGGTCTATCCTGGCACTGAGTTGTGCTGTCTTGGAGAAGGGTGTTATGTATGGGTTCTTCTTACCCTCTTCAATGCATCTATTCTTAGATTTCTTTTTTTCCTTCTTTTTTCTGTTCCACCAGGGTGCTGAAATTTTTCAACTGAACTTACAGGTTCTCATTAAAGTGTTGTCATCTGTGGGTGGTTTTTAACATTAATATTTCTGTGAGGATTGAGAGCTGGAGCCTCCTATTCTGCCATCTTGCTGATCCACCAAAATTATAATTTTTCTTTAGATAGCAAATGTCATCTGTTTCTTCTTAATTACAGTGAACAAATAATTTAAAAATGAAAGCATGTATTATCCTTCTACAAGGCCCATCCATGAACTTTCTGGAGAACCACTCTAGAACCATTGTGATCTCTATCCTGGGCCATTTTTCTTATACTTTAGTATAGTTACTAACTATCTTTTAGGAAGAATGCAGATTCTAACTCAGAAAGTCTGGTTCAGAATGTTTGTGATGGGACCTAAGATTCTGAACTTCTTAATAAGCTTCCAGGAGCTGCTGGTCTCTGAGCACCAAGTCACAAAGTGTACTGTCTCTTAAAAAGTTACTCTTACACAGGAATCATAGAAAATTGTTCTTATAGAATATAGTCAGGATAGAGATACAATGGGAGAGCCATCTGGATATGTGCACTCAGATCATAGTACTCACTTTCTTGGAATATGAAAATCTACATTGCCTATTCAATCCAGTAATGTGTTTGGTGGCATATAACTGATCTCCATAACCAAAATCAAAGTTGACTAGGCTGCTGCTGTTGAAAAGATTCCTAACAATTAAGAAACCTAGGCCAAGTATATCATAGTGTATATATAACGCTATCAGAGTTAGTAAAGTCTTTCCTCCAGTATTCTGGTTGATCACATGAAAAGTTATGGGCACATTTTTGATATTTTATAAATAATGTGCTATGTCTGTTGTGAAAGAAGCAAATTCTCTGAAAGGATATAAAGTGCCTTTTCTGCTGTTCTCATGGGCACTGTTTGACTCAGTTTCCTAGAGTATATGGTGACAATAGCCGTGCCTGCCTTCTGAGACAGGAAATGGTCAAGTACCATATGACTGCAAAAGAATGGTGGTTGTTTTTTCTCTTCTGAATATTCTCCTGACAGTATGGTTTGCTCTGTTCTGCTTATTGGCATATTTGAAAGTAATAATTTAGAAAATTCTCTCGTCTGAAATGTCCTATTTTAAAATATCAGATTTGCTAATTTTTGAAGCATAAAAACAAACTGAAAACTAAACACTTGGCAGCTTCACTAATCCCATTTTATGGAAAATGCCAATTAAGAGGCCTTGCAAGACTTGGGTGTATACCTTATAAAACAGGAATGGTGACACTTTTCCATGACTTTAGTTTTAGCAATTAAAATGTTTGCCTTTTCAGGAGTACTAAATGGGTGATTTCCACCAGCCTGTTAACACCTAACTGTTGCTTCATTTCTCATTGACCATCAGATCCTGTCAATTCAGCTTCTGTAGTACTTCTGGAATCTGTATTTGGATTTACTGTTGACTTTTCCACTATAATTATCCTGTCACAGGCCCTCACTTTATCTCCCCTGAGCCATTAGATGATGTTTATTAAGTGTTTTCTGTACCTCTAGATTATCCCAGTGCTAGTCAACTCTAGCTCTTGCTGTTAGAGTTTGTCTTTCTAAAACCTCTATCTGATCATCTCATTTCCTTCCCTGGAGACTGTTGACTTTCTAGCACCTATAAATACATCAAGACTTTTAGCATAGTTTCTCCTTTCTTCTAATTTTCTGTAAGACACATCACCTTTCATCAATGCTCTCCCCTGGCTCCCTAAACTCTAAGAGCACCAGATGCTTAGACATTTTACTAAACACACACTGGACATTGTCTTACATCTTTGCCTTTGCTTAGGCTGGACCCCTCTGTCAGAATCTGTTTCACCACTTTTCTACTTAGAAAGCCCATTTTTTTTGTTATTCAAGAAAGAAATGATATTTTCTTAGGAAAATCTTCCTGAGGCTTCCTTCCATATCCTCCCACAGCTTCCTGCTCAAGCTTCTCATAGTGCATCACTCGTGAAGCATCCTAATTATTTATGTGTCTGTCTCTCCCACTGGACTATAAGTTCCAGCCAGAGTTGAAGTCAAAGTTTTGCTTCAGACAGCCTGATATCTCTCAGGCCCCTAGCAGAGGAGTTGGCAGATGCTAGGTACTTTATGAATAATTCCTGAATATGGGTGGAGGGAGAGGCTAGAAGGATAGGTCAATGGACAGATGAAAGAAAGAAATGAAAGGACTTAATTTTCCTAAGCAGCATCAGTAATTTGTTCATGATAAACTAAAATAAAAAGTAGGGTATATACATATGTGAATACACAGATAAGCATGCACACAGCTGCAGGTAATAATATACATAGTCTGTAGTGGGACTCTAGAGCTGTGACTCTCTCTTTCATATTACATGATCTTTAGGAAGAATAGAACCCGGTGGCTTATGCTTGTAAGGTTAATGTTTCCTTGTTTTGCTTGGTCCTAATTTTGTACTTTATTCTTATTCTAGGATGACAGAAGTCTTCGGCTTGTGGCTAATTCAATGGTGTGGGTTCCAGAAGGTGGCATGCTGCAGATCACCAACAGAATCTTACAGGCTGAAGCCCCTGGGGCCAGCGCTGAAGAAATCATCTATGAGATTACACAAGACCACCCCAAGTTTGGTAACTCTTTTTTTTCCCCCTTGGGCACAATTTCACCTTTGCATTCAGCAGTCTGGGGTTTGCTTTGAACAATGCCAGGCAGCAAGATTGCAATTCTAATGAACTGAGTTTTCTGACACTTTACACATCCCCTCTAAAAATAGATTAATCATGATAGCTGTCACACAGTACACATTCCCTAGGTAGTATACTAAGTTTTATAAACACATTACCTATAACACCTTAAACTTAATTTGGGTTTCAGAACAGCTTCATTTTGTAGATGAGAAAACTGGGCTAAAAGTAGCTTGCTAAAAGTCACCTAGCTAATATAGGTCAGTTTTATTTCAAAGGTCAGGCTCTTAAACTCCATCTGGTATCCCTTTCAGAATGTTATTAGAATTCTTCTTGATGAAATGTTTTCAAAAATACACAAAGACATTTTCATTGTTCTCTATTGTTACTCCTACTTCCAGCAAAGTATTAAGATGTGTGATAACCTGAGAAATGTCCCATTTTCACCACCTAGAAATGCTAGGTGGTGAAAATATAGCAACACCTCTAAGGTGCTCATAGCTGACCTTCCAAAAATAGACATCTCCAGATGCCAGCAGCAAAGAGGGCACTGAACATCAGTCCGATTATGAGCTAATGACATTGCTCCCTGACAGGGGCCAGGTGTCTCAGTGGCCCGGAGGCTTGAGACTTAATGCTTGTGCCTAGACAGGGCATTGGAATTAAGATCTTGCATGAAAGCAGGACTCTAGAAGGACACACCTTCAATTAGAGGAACAGAATAGAAAATAGGAAACTCACCAGCCCAGCAAGATCATAGAGAACTCTGCCTGGGTTTCCCAGGCTCAGAGTGGAGCAAAAAGTCCATTGAGAACTAAGAACTTCAAGCCTATTTCTCTTGCAGATCTGTAAATTACACTGCGTGCCTTATCCAAGAAACCCAAAGCTGAGATACTAATGCAGGGTGGCCATAAAGTTCATATGCAGTTTAAAATAGTGTGCAATTTTAAATTGCACATGAACTTTATGGCCAACTGTATAAAAGTTAGTCCCAGACCAATGATATTTCTTCAGTTCTTTATAGAAACTACTACACAAGGCCCACCCTCAAGAGTAGCCCACAAGGATTCCCAGAGAAGGCCACTGCAGATTAACTCAGAATGTAAAATTACAGAACCTCACCGGGTACAGTGGCTCACACCTGTAATCCCAACACTCTACGAGGCCAAGGTGGGTGGATTGCCTGAGCTCACAGGTTCAAGACCAGCCTGAGCTAGTGAGACAGCCTAGAGTAAGATCTCACCTCTAAAAATAGCCAGGCACTGTGGTGGGCACCTATAGTCCCAGCTACTTGGGAGGCTGAAGCAAGAGAATCGCTTGTGTCCAAGAGTATGTTGCAACCCACAGGAACTATATTAAAGGGCTGCAGCATTAGGAAGGTTGAGAACCACTGAGTTAGAGGTTGCTGTGAGCTATGACGCCACAGCACTCTACACAGGGCAACAAAGTGAGACTCTGTCTCAAAAAAATAAATAAATAATAAAATAAAATTATGAAACCTCTGAGGAAACAATGCATGCTACTATAACCAAACAAACAAAGTTAAAACCCCAAGAATTTCAAATAAGTAATAATCTTATAAAAACTATGAGATAAGCATATTAAAATGATCTCAATACACAAAAGAAGGAATTAAAACTGTAAGAAATAGCAAAATCTTATAAAAATAAAAGAACAGGTAGATTTTTTAAAAAATTAATAAATTAATCATCTAAAAATAAAAATTGTATTTATTAAAAGTAAAACCTCATGAGTTATAGTAAATAGTAGAACACGAAGACTACTTGCTTCTGGGCTATCCAGTTTTTTAAATATGTATTTTCTATAGTGAGGTTAAAAAAATAAGTTTTACATAATTTAAAAATAATTCCAATATCCACAAAGACATTGAAAACTACAGCCTAATCAAGAATTGGTATTATAAGGATAAAACAGCCAGTCTAGCTGAGGTCTCTTTGTTATAGCAGTGTGAACCCGGAGGAAGGCAAGTGAGCTCTCTGGGACTATAGGTTTTTTTTTAACTTTTTATTTAAAAATAATTTTAGATTTACTGAAAAGTTGCAAAAAATAGTATAATGAGCTCTTAAATACCCTTTACCCAGCTTCTCTTAATGTTAATATTTTACATAACTATAGCTACAGAATATTCAACCCTAGAAATTAACATTGATACAAACAATTAATTAATCCATACAGCTCGTTCAAATTGTGCTGAGTATCCCACTAATGCTCTTTTTCTCATCCGATCTGCGATCCCAGATTGCACTTAATTGCCGTGGCTCCTTAGTTTCCTCCATTCTGTTTCACCTCCTCAGCCTTTGTCTTTTATGACCTGGAAACTGTTGAGACATTTATAGAAAATCACTCAATTTGTATTTGTCCGATGGTTTCTCATGATTAGATTAAGGTCATGCCTTTTTTGCAGCTTTCTCACATCGGGGGTACATAACGTCGCTGTGTCTCATTACTGTGATGTTGACTTTGATCACTTTGATCCCTTGGTTAAAGTGGTGCCTGCTGGATTTTTCTACTATTACTCTTTTCCATTTGTCATTAATGTTTCCTCAGCTCATATTTTCAACTCCTTATCTTAAAGTAGATAATTTCTGAGTCCTTTTCATCTCTAAAAATCTTTGACTCTTTTGATGTATTAAATTTTCTGCCTTTATCTTGATCATTAAAAGCCAAAAAAATTAAGCCCCCACATTTCCTAGAAACAGCTTAACTTCCATTCAGCATGAAACAAAACAGTGCTGGATTAAATGGTTTTTAAGTAGATAAAAGTTTTCCATTTCAGCTTAATAAATGCCACCAGGCTTTATTGTGACACTTTTCTGCTATAACTCTCTTAATTAAATTCTTCCTGTGAAAATAATCTGTGTGTCTACAGTTCCCTACTAGTAATAACCAAATCATGTTGTCCTAGGAACCATTCAAGAGTGAAAAAGGTGGTGGGAACCAGAAACCCACTTAACACAGATCTACTTACATCCATCTGTCCTAATGATGTGGATTTGTGGAACCCTTGCTTTGTACTCCCTCATTACTTTAAAGTGCTCAAGTTGGGCTTTAGGCTTTTTGCAAAGCATTGACCTTGGAAAGGAACAGAACCAGACAGAAATAGCTCATATGGTGTGTGCAGAAAGGATTGCTTCCTCTCTCATCTTCCACAGTCCTATTTGTCAAGCTCGTAGCTTCCACGTCCTTGGTAACTCTTGTGTTGTTTGTTTTTGTCCAATCTTACCTCTGTTACCTTAGTTCAAGTCTCCATCTCACCTCTGGATTTTGCAGTGGCTTCAGAGCTGGTCCCACTGTCTACATCCATGTTAACTACTGTCACCGCTTTCATAGAATAAAGTCCAGCTGCCTCAGTGACACTTTCAAGCCGTGTCCTTTCTAGACTCTGGTCACATGTTGTGTGCTCTAAACTGGTTCATGCCATTCACCTACTAAAAATCTCACAGTGGCTCCCGAGTGATTTGCAGGCTGGTCTTTAGAGTAGGAACTGTGTCTTGTTTATTTTTGAATCCCCCTATTCCTAAAGGGTTTAGAACAGTAATTAGCACCTCACAGCCACTCAGCGCCTACTTATTGAATTGAAATTAGTGGAATTAGCCAATATCCTATGATTCCTATGGCACGGAAGTGGTTTTTATGTGGACATAGGCTTATCTCATTAGGCCTTCTTAGGAAGATTCTGTTTTGCTTTTCTATTATAAAGCGAGAAGCCAGGAAATCGGCATTTGGATATTTTCTACTGTCTACATTTTTTTGGTGGAAATCCTTTCAGAATATTTTGCAGCACTTCTCACATTCTTAAACAGTCCACATCCAGGAAAAGCACTTTATTAACACCATCTTAGGAGCAGAAGTTGAACCAGGGTAAGGCGGGTAATGGAATTTTTGGCGTAGATACAAATGAGAGGTGATACAAGAAAGAAAAGGCTGAAGTGAGTTGATTCTACACATGATTATGCAAAGAAGAGTGGTGATGTTTTCCTCTTGTTTCAGTATTTCATTACCATGCAGGATATTATGCTCATTTTTAACTTGAATTTAGTGCATATAAATATTAGAACGAGTGTTGGCTTTGAGTAAGAAAACATATTTCTCTAAGGTAATGAAAATGTGCTATCAATTGTCTAATATGTCTAGTGTATTAAGATCTAGGTATCCTCTCCCAGAACACAATAGACAGTCTGTCTCTCTCTCTCTCTCTCTCTCTCACACACACACAAACACACCCCTTTCTTTCACTGTCAGAGTGGTAAGGTTGCCTCAGATTTACTGTTAGATACTTTTTCATGAAAATATAACTTCTGTTTTCAGCAGTTTATCCATTCTTCTTCTTGGTCTTCATTTGAAGATACATTCTCCTTGTGAAATTTTAATTGTTTCTATAACACCTCTGTATTTTTTTATCTCACCTTAAGAAGAAAGTAGCTTTAGGTGAGAAATAAGCAATAAAAACAGGTTGCTAGTGAGGGTAGCGCTTAGACTTAGATTTCCTGGCCTCGTTTCTGATAAAGTTTAAAGGTGGAGGAGGAGAAAACATGATCAGCGGGTTAGCAGAGTGAACACTGGGTCATGTACACAAAATGGTGCTAATTGGTTCCAGAGCTTCACGAGCCAGAATGTGCGCTTCAGGCTCAAATCCAAAGTCAGTCGTGTGACCACCAGCCGTTACTGAATTCTGAACCTAGAGAACTTCATCTGTAGAAGGGGGATGATGATAGAATTATTCAGAGGATTAAATAGAAATACCAAACCAGTTTGATGGAAGTGTTTCGGATTATGTGTGAAAACACCACACCGTACCCCAGAAGTGCATTAATGTACACAGTTACCATTCAATAAAAAAAAAAAAAGAAAGAAATACCAGTAAAGATGACCAATATTCTTTTTAAGCACCTATAAAATATGTACTATTTTTCTCATTTTACTATTGAAGTACAAAGACTTAACAGAGATTACGTAAGCTCA